TGCTCGCCCGGCCGGACAGTGTTATGCAGAAATGAGTTAACTCGCCCGCCAAGTAATACTTTCGAGTGAATTAAGTTGAAAAGTTAAACCGTGTGCGTGTCGCGTGCAAATTAATATAACGGACGGCGCGCGTTTATTCTCTTCAAATGTATTCTCTCAAAATACGGGAAGATATACGGGACGCGTGACGCGCTCCTGTGATTGGTTTTATCTTAAAATGTTAATATTTCCCTCGGAAAGAGAGAGAGATGGAGTCAACACGTGCGAGAAGATGAATTATTTTATTCGGAATATTTTACAGGTAATCTTTTTTACAGATTTCGCGCGTTCCGGCGGAATATTCCGACGCGTTTCTTTTATATTGGCTTGACCTGAGTTGAGATTCCGGTCCTACGTTAAACTTTTAATTCTACAACACAGGTATTAAGATAACAAGATAGGTTCATTCAATGTTAATTCTAATAATACGATTTACTCCTATTTTCGCCCCCATGAAACTATAAATTTCCGTTTCTGCTGTTTTAGTATCGAAATGTGCAATTCAAGGTAGCGTCAACTGCACACGCAGCGGCAGCTTCAAAGTATACACGACGGTGTCTAACAATGTGAGATATCGTAACGACCTATAAATATCCGTGTGGTATAATAAATAGACGTGAAAGGAATATAAAATACGGACATTTATCGCAGAGCTCGGAGAATATCGTGAAGCCGAGAAATTACATTGTAATAAATAAACACTCGCGTACGGGGCTTGATTGGTTGCCGCGTAGAACTAAATGATTCGTTCGCTGTAAGCGGATTGACATTCTCGGCTCTAGATGACATCTGCAATTTTTAGCGTTACTTCAATCTTCTTTTTAATTCAGAGCTTCACGTTGCCGACCCACTGTCTACGTGTGTATACAATTTGTTCCGTTCTTTTTTAGTTTGGTGGGTCAACTTATTTTTGCATAACGTCATCCATTCGGGATGCGCTCTATTCCGTAACACCGTGAAAGTGAATTATATAACGTATCACATGTCGCGACCTACTTTCGCGTCTTTCGACACTGTTTACGTTAAATGTATGCAAATAGCGTATTTCTTCTAATGAAATATTATTTAAAAACTTCACACATGCACACACATACACACACAGAGGATGATATATTGATTCCAAGCAGGACTCTTTTCACGGTCGTATAATAATCGTTAGATTAATTCTTCTTTATCTGCTTGCATAGCAAGAGGAAAAAAGAGAGAGAATCAGAGCCATATCCGAGCTAAACGGGAATTGAATGCACGTTGACCGAGCGATAACGATACACCTTGTGCGCGTACAAGCTATTTTATTTACTTAAAAAACGAACTTCTCAGTCGCGCAATGTTGTGCGACGAGCGCGTTGTTCGATAATCCTTATTTTTCTTTCTCCCTCTCTCCCTCGCCCCCGCTTTTTTTTTGTCGTTTTCCTCGGAAAGTGGTTTTTGACGCACGGTATTCGGCGAGGACTTGCAGGCCGGATTTTCTGGTCAGGATGAGGACGCCGGAGATTGACGGCTGCATTAAAAGGACGACAGGCGAAGGACTCGGAAAACCCATGTGCAGATATTACGCGATGTTCTCGAGGTTGTCGTGTTTTTCTATCGTGCTCCGCTAGACTCCGCGCTCCAAAAATTCGATTCGATCGCGCGAACGGGAGTTTATCCGCGGATTCATACATGTTTGATGTAGATCGGGGATGGTTCTTAACCCCCAGGCCCACGTAACCCCCAAAGGGCTCCGTGAATAGATTTCAGGGACCGTTCGTGTGAAGTCGGACGTGAAAAAAGAAAAATTACACCTTCCTTCTTCCTTCCCGCTAACTTCCGAATGGATCTCGCTCTTGCGACGGGACAAATTCGGCAATATTTTCTCTTTAATTTATCTGTTTTCTTTTTTACATTTTGACGTAAAGCAGAATATATTGGGAGGGATATTTTACGCGTTTCAATGTTTCGATAACTATATTCCGATATAATTGGTTTTCTGCGTGATTTTGTACGTATTTTATTTCATGCATTTAACAAGAGTTATTTTAGCGAGAAGAGCATCAAAGGCTTTGCGACAGTCCTGGTAAAGGGCGGGCTGTGCGACACATAAGAGGGTTAAAAACCACCGATGGCACCATATTAACTCTCGCGCTGTAATTTAACGATTTCCTTTTGTTCCCTTTTCCGACGGCATTGTGTTTGAACGAAACACCGTGGGGTTAAGTAAGTCGGCTGTAGTTTCGGGTAGTGTAACTTTAATTCCCCTGCGAATGCCAAGTTCTGTCGGTGCTTAACGTATGTTACCCCATCCTTAAATGCAGGAAAAGTGCTGTGAACCGCTACATTTTACCATGAATATATAGGGTCGTTCTTTATTGCCGATACAAGCGGGAATATGGTGATTCCACATAAAAAAAATAGGTCTCGAGATAAAGTGGAGTAAAATTTTTGCGCGTGATATTTTGCCCTTTTTTTCAGCAAATCGATTTTGAAAATTGGAAATTTGATAACATGTTTTATCGCACTTTCAGGCTCGAACGATTATCAAGATATAAATGAAAAGGACTCAGCGTTATATTAAAAAAAAAAAAAAAAGAAAAAAGGAATGATAGAACCCATTTTATCGAACCGTTGCACCATTGCTGAAAATCTCGCAACGGAGGGAAGATCTTGCTTATTTTTCAACGCTCCAATTGTTAAATTCTAAATACGTTCGTGTTTGCCGAAAACAAAGCCTCGCGTGGAAAGATTTTCATAGCTATCTCCTTGCGTCGATCTCTTTGGAAGGTGTGCTTTTAAAAATTTCATTTGCTCATACTTCAACATTTAGACACTCGTATTGCGTCCTTATCGAACGTGTTTCTGCTTCTGTGGATTTCCTTGAAGATTCCGACGTCGAAATTACACCGTCGAGAACGATCGAAAATTGGCGTCGATTAAATGGGCGCACTCGGGAATTGTCGAGTTCTCTCTCTCTCTCTCTCTCTCTCTCTCTTTCTATTCGCCTAGCTAGAAGAAAAAAAGAGGCGGAAGAAAGGAAGTAGGAAGTAGGAAGCGAAGCACCGGCGAAAGAACAAAAATGGGGGCGGAAGATGCGGCGACTTAGTTCGTGAAGAGGTATCGACGTTTCCCACAACGCTATCTGTCGCGGATAATGCATCAGCCGCTGCAAAATATCTCCGCCGTATCCGTCCATTCTTTCTCGCGGCAAATACTTCGCGTGTCGAGCACCGAGCCAGATTACCGGAAACACAGCCGCAATTAAATTCTTAACCGAAGGTGAAATAAAACGGCGCTCTTTAGCGGCACCGATATTTTAACGGCCGTTCACACGAGGGGGTAAAGAAAAGAAAAAAAAAACACAACGGCCGGCGATATTATGTGAGTGCGTTGAACGCTCGTGACGCACGAAATATCGAGAAATTATGACCGCGCCGAGCTCTTTCAAGCCCGCGACTCCATAGAAAAGGATAAATTCGCGCGATCGGAGCACGTTTCGAGGGGTCGTTTTTTTAATCAATTGAGCGTTTTAACTCGAGGGATAAATCGAGTTTGCACAATTAACGGCGCGTATAAATGACAGAAATAGTTTTCATCGCGGCCCGCACAATGCGATAGATAACGATTCATTATTTCATGCGCGTCGCTGCGGACCCGATTAATTACTTACGGATCTCTCAAAATAATCAGTTGCAATTGAAAATGCGTATGCAGAATTAAACAGAACGCATTAAGCTAAATAAGCTTAAACCGACGTAAATGACATTACAAAATTACGGGAATTTTGTCATTGTTCAGCTGGTAGTCGCTCGGCCGGATGGCGAGCGATCGTCACTTCGCTTCATCTTCGCAAATCGACGCGTAACCCAGCTCATCCAGCTGCAAGCCCTCTCTCTCTCTCTCTCTCTCTCACTCTCTCTGTGCACGCGATTCGGCGCAATTACGGAGTCCTATTCTCTCTCACCGTTTTTTGTTCCCTTCTTTTTTTATTCAGCGCGTGTGTCTCGCGCGAGTTAACCCGCGCAAACATGCGACCGCTCGCTCTCTCGTGAATTCGCGGTCACGTTCCGCGCGTAAAATACGCTCTCGGCGCTTTCGGGTTTATACATCGAGTTTAGGGTTCGTTCGTCGGCACCTTAAGGCCGCGAGGATAAAGCGGTCCTTCGAACGAAACCGCCTCTCACTGGGAGATTTATGCGCGCCGCGCCGAGGAAAAATCGAGCAGATAAGATGAGATGGTGCAACTACGTGCCGAGGGACGGAGGGAGGAAGACGGCACGCGCGGTGGGATCTACCTCGAGTAGATTGTCGACGAATTTGTAGGGACGCGCGTGGAGGCTTCGCGCCGTCAGCTGTTACGTATACACGATGTTAGCCCTTAATTAATGCGAGTCGAACCGCCGCCGGGGTCGCACCGGCTGAAGCTTTCGCGCTTCGCGACCTTTTGAGGCGTGTTTCGCACTGTACCGCGTGGAGATTTGAACAAGGGAACGTGTACGAGATATGATGAAGTACGTAAAGAAGTATGTTTTAATCGGCATTAAGATTCGGAAAAAGGCGAGCTAATCTCTCCTTTTCTCAATCGCGTGGATCGGACATTTTTCGAAGGGATGCCCGTAATGAAAAATAATGAGAAAAATGATGAGAAAATTACAAATTGATCTTACATTTAAACGTGGGCTAAGTAGGAGCGAATTATACTGCCGAACCTATTTTGCTGTTTTGCCTCCTATTGTGTCGCAGAAATGAAGGTTTGGTGAATTATTGAGAATGGCCATGTATAGAGGCTTCTTTAATTAATAACTCAAAATTGTACGTTTCATTTGCAAAATGGTAAAGAACTTTTTTGTTCACTTCAATCCACTCTGCGCCTTCGCGAAGTCTATCCTTGGTTTGGGACACTTTATATACCCGAGTCAAACCTTTATTTGTACATGCATGCATATATAAAATGTATAAGAAATGTGGAGAAAATTTATATAAATTACCAGTCGTTGCCGGTCTTGGTGACATTTTGCCGCTTACGTCCAGTCTGGTGAGGCTTTGGCTCGGCCACCATGTTCACATCTGCGCAAACATAAACAACATACTTTGTATTATTTCACATTATTCTACTCGTGTACTTTTCATTATTGAAAAAAAAAATACGAGGAGCGGAATAGAGAAGGAAACAAAAATAAACGCGAATAATTAACATCACACATGCAAATTAATTTCGCGAGACACGAGAAGCCACGCGTCTATAATCGCGCTGGACGAGAAACTCAATTAACAAATTAAACGCGCGCTTTGCCTTTTTCTTTACTTCCCCGATCGGCAATAATTTCTGATACGATCGAGATTAAGGGATTTCGAAAATCGGCTCAAACGAACGGCGCTCCGCGCTTCGTGGTACACAGTTTTCGTCGGCGCGTTTCACCGCTTTGCAGTCTATCAGCGGCTTACGCGGATTAATAAAGCGAAGACGGCGACGAAGCGCGAAGTTTCCGCTCAGCGTTTCCGCAAACAGTTATTAATTTCGTCGCCTTTGAGCTAGCGAGATTGATAATGAATGCACCGCGACGCAACGTCGGCGGACGATCAAGGGACAAGTATTTCTCATTCTTCTTGTTCCCGCCGGTAGCCGGGAGATGGTTTCCGTATTCATCATACAGGGTGACTCAAAAGTCGCGCAACAGGTGTGTTACGATATTGATCTATCCACTGTTCTATAGTGACTTGTGACGCCCGACAACGATTCCATATGTATTCCTCGAATGTTGGCAGCGTGACAGATACGCGAATTATAATCCGTGCGAAGAGGACGCTTATTTTAGAATAACGTTAATTACAAACGACGCACGAGTGTCGGAGCAAAAGCACACGTCTCGTAAGGAAAATGAAACGAATAGTAGCGAAGTAGAATCGAATACTTCCTCACACCGCGACCGATTTACGCGTTGCACGATAAGACAATAAAATTTCTAATATCTGATTCTCTCTCTCTCTCTCTCTCTCTCTCTCTCTCTCTCTCTCTCTCTCTCTCTCTCACACTCCGCTCACTAAAAGTCATACGGATTCATGCAAAAATAGGGACGATTTAGCGGCATTGCTGAAACAAAAAAGCGTTTCTCTCGTATTTTTCGAACCAAGTCGGATAAATTCGCCAGTCCTTTTTACCGTGAATATTAAATGCCCTTGATTTTTGTTTATATTACTCTGCGTGTTATTTCACTTCGATAATATGAATATCGAGACTAGTAGGGAGCAACATTTCATTTCTATGGTATTTCCGTTTTGCTGTTATTTGGGGAACGTTAAAATAATTGCGCAACACACGTCTTCGTCCAATATTTTCGAAATCGTGAAATTCCCTGCTTAAGATAAATTAGAATTGGCAGTGGAGAGAACCCCGCATGACGGACGTCAAGGAGCTGCACGCAGCTGCAGCCTTCCACCAGGAATGCAATATATTGTGTATCTCTCTGAAATCAAGGTTAGTATACCAAGAAGACAGGAAGAAATGAAATGCCACGGAGATAGTGGCACCTGCCGGAGGCGGAAAGTTGGAATGGCAGAACCGATAAGGAAGAAAGTGTCAAGAGGGAGCGAGAGAGTAGGAAGCAGGGAAGAGGGAAAGTAGCGAAAACAGGAAAAGCGATAGAGCAAAGGAAAACTAATATAAAGGAAAGGGAGCAGTTCCAATTCGGTGGAATTGTTCTTCCATCTTTGCACGGTGGAAACCGGTGGGAACAAAAGGAATAAAAATTTCAGGGCGGACAGGGAGAAAAGAGACGGCGAAATTGCTCAAAAGAATTAATACCACGACGCCAAGAATATCGTCGGAACCCCGAGAAAAGGAAGAAACAGAAAGGAAGGTAGCCGGAAAAATCGCCATGCGGAACGGCGACGAGAAATGTAAACGATGTGGGGGAAAAAGAAAGGGAAAACCGAACGAAATCAAGCGGAGAACTTGAGAAACGGGAACACGTCGCGTCGAATAATAAACAAGACGTGCGCGACGTTAATAGATCCCTGTGAAGTTTTCACGAAGGAAAGAGTTTGCCCGTGACACGTCGGCGCGGAGAACACTCTCCGTTTCGTCAAAATCAAAAATATTTGCCATCTCGTACTGTGAAAAGCAGATTTACATCGCGGGCGACCGAGAATCTCGGATTTTGCGTTTGATATCTCTGTTTATAGAACACGTAGGGCAAAAATGGCGACAATACTTCG